AGAAGTCTGAAGGCTCTGGCCCAAACAGTGCTTGGTGATTAAAAGGCCACCCATTCAGAGACGAGAATGGACATAACTGAAAAGCTCTCTGGTTCTCCTCAAACACTATTCTCTAAAGAAATCAGACTGACTCCAGAATTAAATCAAGTTGTGAAAAAGTATAAAAGTTCATCAAAGGGAGAAATTCAGTTAACTCCTAACACCTACAGTAGATTATCTGTAACTAAGCCATTGGTCCCAAACTCTGCTGTCCATCACAGTCACCTGAGGCCCCTGAGGTCCTGCCCCACCCATCATAGCAGTTAAAACAGAAGGTCTGGGGAGGGGGCCAGGCATAAACATGTTTTTAAAAAGATCTTTAGGTGATGCCAGTGTACTAAAAGTTTGGAAACCATTGAGCTAATCAATAAATATGTATTAAGCACCAATTTTGTGCCCATCGTAAAGGAGCCCTGTCCCCTAAGAGGTCATGTGACCTGACCATGGAGAAAGGAGTTTGCAGAATTTTAAAGCTGGAAGATGGACCACTAGGGCAGCCTTCTTATGTCACAGAGGAGGCCCCCAGAACCCAGGCTGAGGAAGCAACATGACCGTGGTCACACCATGGGCAGAGCCCGGGAAAGCTAGTGCTCTCAGCTCCCAGGCCAGCGCTCTCCCCACCCTGCCAGTCCTCCACCTTTCCTTTGTGCCCACACTTTGTGTCTGCCAAAGTGAGGACAACTCAGTTTGGTCAGAAAAAAGGCTGACATTACTGTCAAATTGATCTCTCCAATCCAGCGCCCTCGGGCCCAGGGACGTGGGGCTCCGTGCTGCTCTCCGCATGTTGTAACTTGTACCACCTTTCTGCAGTGCTAAGTGCTCCTTGCAAGCAGGGGAAGTGGCTTCTCCTCCTCTCCAGGCCCCGCCATCCCCGGGGTAACACTGGGTGTGCAGCAGCCGACAGACTAGGGGACTAACTCAGAGGTGCTAGCTCATGAGCTTGGTGACCTGTGGTCAGATCGTCCATAAAAATGGTTTAGAAGATTGTCAAAATTTCTGGACTATTTCTAGGATTTCAGAAGATTTTTCAGAGGAAATCTGGTACCCTGAAATCCCCAATGGCAGTCCAGAGAGGTGCCCTCTGGTCTCCTCCAAGCGAAAGTCATGTGTACCCTAAAAGAACCCGGTGCCCGGCCTCTGTGTTGGGGGACCCTGACCGGCTTTGCATGGGGGATGCTCAGATGCCTGCCAGGTGGTGGAGTGAGGAGCTATTTGTTCCAGCTCGTGCCCTCCCACGTTCACCTACACGCTGGAGGGCACAGCCATCCTCCCGTTTCACCTCGTTACCCACCCTGGCCCCCAGGAATGGCTCAGTCCCAGCCCCAGGGCCTGGTCCCTGCATTATCAGTCCACTCTCCAGTGACCTAGAGTCTGTTGACTTTGCAGCTGCTGCAAGCCATCCCTATCGGGGTCGGGCAGGTGTACGGCTGCGACAATCCCTGGACAGGCGGCATGTTCCTGGTGGCTCTGTTCATTTCCTCGCCACTCATCTGCTTGCATGCAGCCATTGGCTCAATTGTGGGGATCCTGGCAGGTAGGACCCCGTCTTTGCAGGGATCACTTTCCTGAGTTCATTTCTCCCCAGCACGCAAATAACATTCTAGACTTCCCTTCACTGCTTTTTTTTTTAACACTGTGAGGGCTAGGGTGTTTTTTTTTTTTTTAACTTTCTGAAGTCTCCAAACGGAGCAATTGCTATAGTAGGATGGGTGGAGAGACGCGAAGGGTTGGCCTGCAAACTGAGCCCCTGGGAGCTGAGGGAGGGGAGGAGGGTCACCCGGTGAGGGTGGGGGACAGTTGCAGACCAAGCAGGGGTAGACCACCCAGCACTTTGAAAATTTGAGTCGGCTTAAAGGGAAAACGTGCTCAAAAATTGGATCACCATTTGACAAATGTGATTTAGTATTTCTACATATGTGTATGTGTGTATCCACACATTTATACACGTATTTGCAGATAGTGGGGTCAGAAATTCACGCTGGGTGCTCTGGGAGTCGGGGCCTGCTGACTTACCCCAATGTTTTTCAAGAACTTTTATTAAGCACGACTTTAAAAAAAATGTACTTGCAAATAATTTCAAATGTTTGAAAAGTTATAAAAATAGTACAAGAGTCACCCATAAATTCTTTACCCAGATTCACCAATTGCTCACACCCTTTGCCGCCTGGTTTCTCTGTCCGCATATCTCTACATGTGGACATACATTTGAAGCAGAACTTTTTAAACTGAAATCGTTCTTGCTAAAATGCAGCTGCTCTGACCAGAGGAGTCGGGAGGACCTGGAGTCCCACCTCCTTGGCCTCCCCTCACCCTGGAAACCGTCACACTTCTGAATGAAACCTTTGAAAAGCAATGAAAACCACTGCCCGCCTCCCATTGTTGGTTTCCTAAGGTCAGATGCCATTCGTCGAGGCTCCTCTGACGAGTAGGGATGGGGGTGTGGGGGAAAGACAGGAGTGGGGCCACCTGAGACCTGGCGCTAGCTGTGGGGTGGCCTTTGTGCTGTGACGCGGGAAGCCAGAAAGACATCCCCTTGTCCCACAGCCCTGGCGGTGGCCACACCCTTCGAAACGGTCTACCTGGGCCTCTCCAGCTACAACTGCGTCCTCTCCTGCATCGCCATCGGAGGCATGTTCTACGCCCTCACCTGGCAGACCCACCTGCTGGCCCTCGTCTGCGGTGCGTACCGGGGAAAGCTGGCAGCCAAGTCGCTCCGCTGCCCCTTGACCTGCCCCACTGCCCGGGCTGTGTGACGCCCAGTCGCCAGTACCGAGCAGTGGTGACGGGAGGACCGGTGGCTGGGGTCCTGTCACGGCAGGGTCCTTCCCTGCTGGAGGTGGGGCTTCTCTCCGCACTTTCAGGATGGGATTTGGACAGGCAAGAAGGCGGGGAAAGGTGTTCTGGACAGACAAACGGAACAAAGGTGCGGGGGCAGAAGGAGCTTGCCCTGAGGCACCAGGGGTGTGGATGGGCTCCCCTAACCGTCCCGGGGCTCTCACCCTATGGGGGAGCCCAGATGCCTGGCTCAGGGACCCAGTAAGGCCCAGCCATGGTAGAGGACTTGGTGAGGGTCCAACAGCATCACAGCAGCTCAGAATCTTGGACAGGAGAGACCTTACCCAGGGCTCACATAGTCTGACCGCTCACCCTCCAGACAGATAATCACCCAGCCGTCCGGCCTGTGCCAGACCATCACCAAGGTCGGTGTGGGCAAGTGAAAGTTGCTGGTCACCCCCGACTCTATGCAAGACCACCATGGCAGTGGGGGGGGGGCTAAGGGGAGAGTTAAGCTTTAATTCTATCTACAGAGAACACACAGTCTGGTGGGAAATGGGTCACACCTACCTGTAAAGATAAAGAATAACGTCAGGCAAATATGCCAGCTGTCGGGGGCGGTGCCAACACCGAGGCTGCCAGAGGCAGGGCGGCCCTGCTCTTGGGGGTGAGGGTGGCCCAGGAAGCTGACCCTCCATGGCCCTTTTCCTCCACAGCCCTGTTCTGTGCCTACATGGGAGCAGCCCTCACCAACATAATGGCAGTGGTAAGTCTGGAGTCTTCGGACACTTCCCGAAAGTGCCCCTCCCCAGCCAGGGCTTCAGCACATTTGGAGTCTTGTGGGAGAATCCTGAGCGGGCTCTGGGGGCTACTAGTCCCCACAATGCCTTTGTCAAGGTTTATCCAGCGTTTGTCCAGCGAAGGACTGGCAGTTGCAAACATGTGTCTCTAAGGCGTATACGTGCACATGTGTGAGAGAGTGATGTAACCCGAAGTGGGGAACATGGATGGACAGGTGGAGGTACCTGTGTTTGGCCAGATGTGGGAGAACATCCCTGGGGGTTTTCAGCTCCATCATTAAAGGATTTTGATGGGGCCCAAAGGTACCAACATCTTGCATTCCTAGACCAACCACTCTGACATTAGAAATCCAGAAACCAGCGCCGTCACTAGCACGTCCTTCTCCCCCGGTGTCCCTGGAACCTGGGACCGTTTTCAGACCCCAGTGTTTTTGTTTTCAGCTTGGTGTGCCTCCAGGCACCTGGCCCTTCTGCCTCTCCTCCCTCACCTTCCTGCTCCTGACGACCAACAACCCCGCCATCTACAGGCTCCCGCTCAGCAAAGTCACCTACCCGGAGGCCAACCGCATCTACTACCTGACAGTGAAGAGCAGTGAAGAGGACAAGTCCCCCAGCGGTGACTAGCCAAGTCACAGGCGGAAGCGCTCTCTGCCTGGGCCGGGGTCTGCGCCCTGTGGCCTCAGCTCTGGGCCAATCAGCTACAGCGCTCACTGGCTTTGCTTCTCTTTACACCTGTGTGGAACCAGACACACCTGTAACCCCCTTTCCCTGACTCTGATTTTCTCTCTCTGCGCAAATCGCCTTAACTACCCACTGTGCATCATTCCAGGAAGTCGGTGGTGAGCTTGCTGGAGGGAGAAGTTAGGCACGTGTTTTCAATGTCATTGACAAAACAAAAACATTCTTCGTATTTAGTGTTTTGGAAAGGTGTTTGAGAGATGATCTTCTTGGCACGTTTAACTAAATAATAGATTCTGTAAAATGGAACTTGCCGAGTGGTTCCTGAGTGGGTGAAAACTCGGGGCACCACCGTGCACAGAGCTGATGGCTGATGGGCACATACAGCTTTACATCAAAGAGGGGACTTTCACACGGATCATTTTAAAGTCAAAACAGGGACAGCTAGGGCACTGAAAGTGTCTAAACAGGGCGTCTTGAACATCCAGGGGTCAGAGTAATGGGCAGGACGCTATTCTATAGCGGGAAGGAATCGTTAAGTTAGAATCATACAACTGACTTCCATTATGAAAGGCAAGCATTTTTCAGTGTACATCAAACTAGCGACTTTGAGCAGGGAATTCAGTTGAGGAAAGTACCTAAGCTCAGTATGTGAGAAGCTGGGAAAATCTGTTTCGTTTCCCTGTTTGCTTGTGAGTGTTGGAATCTTTATGAGACCTACGATACTTAAAACAAGTCTTTAGCCCTGAACAGAAGAACAGACAACTATCCATGAATTTCATAATTTGGCTTCCCAGTTTTCATCACTAGCTTACATTCACTCTTCAAATATAGGTCAGGGGTCAGCAGTTGTCTGCAACATGTCAATAGTAAGTATATATAGCAAATAGTAAACATTTTTGGAAGCTCTACAGTCTCCTCTGCAAGTACTCAACTCTGTCATCATAGTGCAAAACAACCTTCAACAACATGCAAATGAATGAGCATACTTGTATTCCAATAAGACTTTATTAAACAAGCAGCTAGAGTTGGCTGGTCCGTGATGATCAATCTGATAACATTTAGGAGCTGGTGGGTAGCAGGCGGGTCCAAAGGACACCACCAGGTTCTTTATACCTGATAAAGCCACAAGGCATTTTACGTGCAGGGGGAAAATGTGAAGATTCTTAGGAAATGGAGAGTACCCAAGAATGAGAGATTAGTAAGGCTGGAATCAGGAAGATCTGCCCTGAGGCTCTTGCAGAGGAACTGACAGATCCAGTGATGAGAACTATGGGGTGCAGTTTAAACCAGGCCCTCCTTCCACATACATGTCTGGGAACCACACCTAAGGTTCACCCTCTCTGGCCTCTCACTCCGTTTCCCATCTGCCAGCAGATGTACCACCATGGGTGGAAGAAGAAAACCCTTCAGTGCAGGGGTTTCTAGGCAGAAAGAGCAGGGAGGCTCATGGAATCTCGGGGTTGGTGAGGAGTGTGCGGGCTAGATTGTGGCACCGTCCTGTGATGCGTGAATCCCTCTGTATAGACGATGGAGGCTCCGGTTCCCTGCCAGGCTTCCAGGCAGGGCTTAATTACCCAAAAATGGAGGGGAGCCCCCACTCCAGGTATTCTGATGAGAGATAGAACCAGAAACCCTATTCATTAATTATGGGCAAATTGCCTCAGGAAACCCCCTCTTCTCCTTTATTTCTTTTTCCTGTTTTCTTGTGATTTAGTTAAATGTTCCTTTATCCTAATGTTTTTAAACAGATAAAAAGTTCCTTTATTTTAGATCTTTCTCATTTAACAACAAAGGCATTTTTAAGGCTATTAATTTCCCTCTGAGTACAGCTTTAGCTGTGTGCTATAGGTTTTGGAATAAAGTATTCTACTTTTATCAGTTATAAATAGTTTGTAATCTTAGTTTTCATTTCTCTTTGATGCAAGGATTATTTAAGAATGTATTTCTTAATTTCCAGCACTTTGAATTTTGATATTTTTTAACTTTCTATATGTAGTTTTATTGGATTATGAGCAAAGAATATGGACTGCCAATCCCTATTTTTACATTTTATGCATTTTTCTTTGTAGTCAAGTATTTGATTGATTTTGGACATAGAAAATGCAAATTTTTACTTGAGGGAAATACATATTAATTTATTAATTGCATCATTCAATTCTTCTATGCACTTATTTATTTTTGTCTATGGGATCTTAATTCTGAAGCAGGTTTATTAAAATTCAACTGTAATTGGATAGCTTTATCAAACTCTTTTTGCATTTCTGAAACATTTGTGTCATATATTTTAGTGGCTATGTTGTTTGCTGTCTATTGACTCAGTCATTGATTCTTCTTAAATTTATCTTTTACTACTACAAACTACCCATTTTTATATTCATTAGTGCCTTTAACCAAATTTCAACTCATCTGACCTTTATCACTTCCTTTGAACTTTCTTCCTTTTAACTTTATTATTTTCTTTAAGCCACATTTCTTAAAAATAGTATATAGCAAGTTTTATATTTAATCTAATCTCAGTGTTTTTGTAATTTAAAGGGATAATTCAACCTGTTTATATTTAGTGTAACAATCAGTACACTGTTTTCTTTCTTCCATTTACCTTATTTTTTACTATGTATTTTTTCATCACGACTTTTGCTTTTTCACATTCCTCATTTTGCAAGTTTGGCCATGTTGCTGTTGTTTTCTTTCTTCCTTTTGTTCATTAGGAAGGTCTACTATTTTTATTCATTCCACAGATGATTACCACCCTTCCCCAATCCTCATGGCCAAAAGTGCATTTCTCTATTATTATATAAAAACAAAGATGCCAAATCGTTTCCCCTGACAAGATGCCCCATTTCTCCAGTGCTCCTTCCCTATCCTGACTATTAAAAGTCTTTATACTTTCACTCTTCTCCTCAGGGTCCCCCCACCCCAGCTTTAACATATGTTTATGTCTCCAGTGTCTCCCACCTCTAGATTTTGCTGAAATTATTTATCATTTTTAATTTTTTTCTCTTGCAATATGCCTTTTGTTTTTGTAGGAATCCTTTCTTATCCCCTATATCACAGATCCCCTGTAAATCTAATATTGTCCATTTGGAGTTTATTATTCACATTGCACATGTTACCTTCTGTCACTGTTTCCTCTATTCACCTTCCCCTGTTTTATGATCATTGTCCTGATTTATTTATTACTTGTTCAGAACTCTTTCTTGTTTTGCTCTAATAATATGTGAAGGAATACGGTTAACATGTTCTCTGATTCTGCGTGTCCACAGAGATTTTTTACCCAGGAAGTAAATGGCATTTTGCCTGAGGGTGGGTTTCTGGGCTGCAGTCTTTCCCCTCAGTTGTCCATAGGCGTTATCCTGTCATTTTCTGGCTTCCAAGTGCTGCAGATGAGAAATCTGATGTCAATCTAATTCTTCTCTTTTGTGAAAAACCTGTTATTTCTTTCTAGGAGATTGGAAGTTTTTCTTTTTATCTTTGGAGTTCAGGAATGTTATATAGTTTAGCCCAAATTTGTGTCTTTCCTCAGCAATCCTGCCTTTCAATCTGCAAACACAAGTCTTTCTTCAGCTCAGCAACTATTCTTCCAACACTTGTTTGATTACTGATCTTCCTCCCTCTCTTCCTTTTTCTCTCACTGGAACCTCTGTTATTTATATGTTAGATCTCCCTGATCTCTGCCTCTAGTTGCTTATTTCCTTCACAATTTTTATTATGTGGGTTTTTTGCTCTCTTTTGAGATATTTATTCCATGATTCAGATTCCAACAGTAATCTTTCTTTCCTTCAATTCCACAGATGAATTGAACTTTTTTTAACTCAGATTATGTTCTTAGTTTCAGAAAATCTTTGGGATCTGGAGCTGAAATTGAATCTCCACTTGTGTTTTTATTATTCTTTTGTGTTTGTCTGTTTCTTCCTGCTCCAGAAATCAGATGCAGCTTCTGGTAACTCATGGCCCCAAACTTTTCCCCATTCCTTTTATGCCACAAGTGATGGGCCCCTGCACTGGCTGACCAGGGATGCTTGAAAACATTCATGAGCCAAGCCCCTAGCAACCCGACCTTGTGGCCTGACCTCATTCACTCATTCATCCAGAAGACATTGTATGAGGAACTATTAATATGTTACTCAGGCCTCTGCTTCACAACAAACCAGGAAAGAATCAGACCAGTTCCTGCCTTCAAGGAATTCACTTCATGGAGATTTACCTGGCCAGGTGAGTAGTCTCACCTAAGGTGAAGATATGGATGTCACCACAGACAACCTGAGCCACATTAAGTTCACAGCACCAGTTTCATGATTTTGAAACTATCTTGTCAGATTAGCTTTCTGTTCAGGAAGAGTATCAAGCGTGATTTTAAGAGTTTCATGGAAATCTCTGTGCCTCTTCTCCTCTCGTCCTCTGTCTTGCCATTACCTGCCGCCCAAACATCCCCAGCCATCCCTTCAATTTAAAGCTTTGAACCTGTTAAAATGTAAATAATCCTGGGAAGGTAACACAGTAAGTATGATCAGTCATTTGCATCTTAGGTTGAAGGAGTCATTTCTGAGAAAATGTTGGATGAAAAAGAAAGGGAAAATACAAAGGAAAAAATGGCTAGCACATTTTTAGAGTCTCTTTGGCAAGGGAGAGCATGCTGAGACGGGGCCAGGCTGAGTGAATGCCTGGGGCTATGACTGTCTGCAGTACAAGGTAATACATGTAGAAGAAGTCAATTTACTTGACGTTACTTCAGAGCAGAGGATAAGGACCACTAGGTGGGACTGATAAGCAAGCACATGTTCAATCAGTGGAGAGGGGTGCTTTTTGGCAATGGAAGTTGCCTGAGAAATGGTTGCCCTGTGAGACCCTGAGTTCAGGAGCAGGGGCTGGAGGCCTGTTGGAGATGCTGGTTTTGGGTGGGAGTAGACCAGATGACCACTGCCACCACTCTCCTCC